CAAAAAATTCATTAAAAAGAACCGGTCATTAAAGACCGGCAAAATATTCAGAGCCCCGGCCCCTTGGCCGGGTAAATACAAACAAACGGCACGCAGGCCGTGGAAAGAAGACATAAAGCTTAAGAAGGGGGCAGATCTTCAATATTAGCAGCTGCCGCCTGGTCAGCACTCTTCTTGCTGGAATCGGCTTCAGCTGCATCCTTCTTTGATGCATTACCCCCAAGCGGCACAAGCGCCACTACCGGCTCCTCCTCCTCCAACGCCTCTTCCTCAGCAGCCGCCAGGATCTCCTGATTATATCTATCAGAACACTGGCGGTACGTTTTTTCCCATGAGGCAAAGTCAGCATTGGGGAAGAGGCGGCCCCAAGTCATGCGCTGGATTTGAGCAGAGTCTTCCATCATCTCCCGGACCAGCTCTTTCTTTTCTTGCTCGGCCTTTTCCGAGAGCTCCTGAGTAAGACTCTTCTCCTGGGTCACCAGGCGTACCTTTACGCTCGCCAAGGATTTCTCCAAGGTTTCGTATGAGGACATCTTTTGGCGAAGAGGTCTCAGCTCGGCCTTGAGGTTGTTGATGGTCGCCTCCAGCTCGCTATTCCTCTTCTAGGCCGCCTCTAACTGAGCTCGGATAGCGGCGGTAGCCTGCACCTGATAATAAAGAATATCAATGGTCAGAACTTCATTTTGGGCAATTTGAAACATTGCCTTATCACAGTCAGAGGCGGCCATAGCTTTTGCAGCCTTTACCTTTTTGTTCTTCCGGTCAAGCGGCTTGCGAAGGCCGTTCACTCGGAGCAGGGCCTAAGTAAAAAGGGGGAACAGGCGTCAGTTTCCAAACAAAAAGAAAATAGACGTCCTGGAATTCAAATACTCAAAAATATGCTAAGTATACCTCAGCAAGGACCCCTTCAATCCCGTCTAGGTCAAGGGTGCCGACACCCCTGACCACCTCCCTTTCAGCTGGAGGAACGGCCTTGATCATAGACTTGGCCACTTCGACCAAGTCAGGCTCCTGAGGGCCGGCTGCATCAAGCATAAACAAACGGATTAGACCTAGTAAAGAAGGGAGCAAGTCTAAAATTTACAAGGACAATTTCATACTTCTAGGTAGCCTAGCTGGAGTTTTAGAAGAAGTGGCCGGCTGTTTCTCAGCCGCCACATGTTTCCTAGTAGAACCAGGAGAGCTCGCAACAGTCGTCCTCCGGGCCTTGGGGTCCGGCTGTTGGGAAGAAAAAGCTCTTGGAGCGCCCGTCTAAAAAAGAAGAAAAGAGTTAGTATATGCATAAACACAACTCCAAAAAGAGGGTGAAAGGTTCGAAGCCCACCAAGGGTGCCCCCTTGTTGGGGGAGTCGGTTGAAGACTGTTGCATGATGGAGGCCCGCAACATGGCCGCCGCAGTCTTGGAGGCGGTAATTTTGCTCATGGCGTCCGCTACAAAAACAAATAGCAAAGTTAATAAAAGTCATAACAAGAAATGCATGGAACAACAGAGTATTCGACAGGCCGGCTACCTCTTGAGCACCGACTGCTGAGGCCACAGGCGGCCAAAAAGTACTCGTCGTAGAGCCATTTGAAGCTCGGGACGCAGTGCAGGGGTACTTGCTCTCGTACCCCTGAAGTAGAGTTCACCTTCGACTCTACTTTGAAGAGTCCTTTATCTAGGATCTCTTTCTTAGCCTTGGGGGGAACAGGCGGCATGCTGCGGCCGCCTGCAAGAAGGGGCGGATTCCTGTTCCACCTGTTGAAGCGCTTGTTCAGCTCTGTGTCTGAACTCTCAATGATGAGGAAGGTGCTCCGCCAGTCCTTCCATTTGTTTGCTTTACCTCTCGTCATGAGGTAGCCCCTGTGGCTCGTCAATTGATACCAGCCGGTACTGCCTGCCTTAGGGGTCCGGCTGAGATAGTTCATGTGGGCGAAAGCCTCGAAGCTCGGCTCCACCCCGTGCAGTTCGCACCCGGCCACATAGCCGAGTACGTTGACCCAGGAGTTCGGGGCTAACTGCCATAACCCCAACTCATACCCATCCAAGATCCGCTGAACAACCGGATGTAGTGGGAAGCGCAGCCCAGCCTTGATGGCCGCCTCGTAGCAGCCAAAGCAGGCGCCATCATAACTGGTACCAGCCGGCCATACGACTGTGTCTTCTGGATCCGACACGAACACTAAAAAGCCGGGGCCCATTGTGTGGTTTGCGATAAAGCTCTCCACTTTCTCTTGCATGGCCGTGATCCGGCCCCGAGGTACCGTGCAGTAGTAAGGGGTATTTTGCTCTCGGTGAGAGGCGGATGGCTCCGCCCAATCGTCCCCCTTCTCAACTGCGTGAGAAAGCCTCGCCTCTTGTAGGCGAATGTTTTTCTCTTCTGTGTCCAGGGAAGCATGGCCAGAAGAGCTAGACTCGGAATCGTCCTCTGACGAGTCCGAAGAGGACGACTCTTCCCCTCTCCCGGAGGGGCCCGCCTCCTCTCCTTTAAAAGGAGCAGGAGAGAATGTAGAATTGTCAACTGTAAAATGGGAAGGGGTCACTTTGACTCCTCCCTCAGAACTGCCGGCTTTCAAGCCGCCTTGTTTCACTTCCACATCTGGCGCCTGGTCAGATGTTTCACTAATCGGCACTATGTGGGAGGAGCCGTCTGAGTTTGAGATCCTGGCAGTCTTTTTTGTTCTGGCCATCATGCTCTGCATAGACACAGATACAGTCGGACTTTGTATAAAGGGCAAAGATGGGTCCAGAAAAGGGCAGGCGGCACTCCTAGTCCTAGATTCAGCCGTCCCCGGTGACCGGCTGATCACTAACCTAGGTCGTGTCGTGTGCTTCCGTGGTGCCATTTCAAAAAAGAATAAAGTAAAGAGAAAATTAAGAGTAAGAGAACCGACGGTTACCTGAACGAGTGACGATTGATGAAGTTCTGAAAATCCTTTGCAGTCGGCTTGTCAGAGCAGGCGGTAGGTAGAAAGGGTCCAAAATGTCAGAGCAAGTTCAGGGGTCCGAATGTTCTCTCACAAAGTTTTCAAGTGTGAAAATGACCGAAGTCAACACTCCTTTATATAGGCGAAGTGAGAAGGCGAAGGGTCACTTCCAGAATTCAAAATTTTGGCGGGAGAATCTCTCGGCCTCTCGCCGAGTGACACCTGTAGCAGGTAGTCGCCTGTTACAGGGCGATACCTGTCACAGGTAACACGTGACCAGTCACGTGCCACCTGTGAGGGGCAAATAATTAGGGGATTTTTCCCCACCAATCACCATCTGGCAAGTGGACCAATCAGGTTCCGCCATGTGTCCGTCACATGGGCCAATAGGAGTCTGCCACGTGTCAAGCAATGATCCGTCCACTATGGACCAATTACGACACGACACGTGTCCTTCCCATGACACCTGGGATAACCGGTCACCTAGGCCCAACTTCCGAGGGAAGCCCAATCAGCCCAAGGTTAACTTAAACCTAGATTGGCACGTTTTCCGAGGTTATAAATACCTCCCTTAATCCTCATTAAGGGAAAAAACACGCTAAAAACGCAGATTACACACATTAAACACTCTCACCTAGAGAGACCCAATCACTTTAATTTCCGCATTAATTACTCCTTAATCAAGTGCTAACTTGACCGTCGGAGGCGGATCTCCAATCATCCGGAGCATCCGTTTGTTTTGCAGGTACAGGCGTCCGGTTCCAGTCTCGGAATTGTAACTCTCCCGCAGGACATCAGAAAACCCCGAAACAGGCCTGGCTTGTAAATGTATATTTAGAAAGATAACTTCCAAATAAAATCTAATTTTGCTTTTTGTAAAGAGGTAAAAATGTAAAGAAAAGCAAGTTAAAGGTAGAAATACATATGTGAGCTATTTGATGTTATTAAAATATATATGAACGCATTGTTAAGGCTTATCAACAAGTGTTTTATTTATTTTTTTAGCATATGCGTAACACATGCAATTCGAATTAATACAAATTAGTAAAGGAAATAAGAGTAGATGTTGCCATTTAGAGCCAGAGCCTTTGATAAACGGGCCTAGGTCATACGTATCACGCGCTATGTATACGACCAATGAGGTTTCACCGATCATATAAAATGAGGGGAGTAACCCCTTATCCTTGTAAAGTGGACACAACTTTCTCTTTTCTTCAATGTGGGATACATATCCTACTACTCTTCTTTATCTTTACACTCTTTCAATGTGGGACAACATTTTTACTCACATGTAGGTTTGTTCATGGGCTCAAGAGCTTTGCTATGTAGAGTTGAAACTGTCCACCCTATTCGAATAATAAAAAACATAATGGGATTTGGGGGTGGAGAAATTGCCAAATGCCTTTATGACATTGCGGCCTTTCTTCATTTTCGTATTTCGGAGACTCTTCGTAGTTTTGATCAAGAGATTGGGAATTAATCTCAAATCCCTAAGGTTAGTTTGCGTTTAACTATGATGGGGCAACGAAGGGATGCTCGGGGCAACCTGGATATAAAATTATAAATGCAAGTAATTTTTATAGTAAAAAAAATAATTTTACAAGCAAAAATTCTTTTTTCTCAAGCTCAAGTGGGGTCAAGGGACTCCATTAAAATAGCTTGCATCCGCCACTAAATCAGGCGGAGGGGTCATTATTCGAGAGTGTGAAGGAATTTTTATTTCAGGTTTCTCTACCAATTTTGGTCATTGTGTGGCTTATCGGGCTAAGATTTTGGCTTTTACTCAGGCCACAAAGACGGTGATAAGAATTGATCCTAAAATCTTCTAGAATTGATCCGTCACTCTCTAGCTTACTTCTTTGTTTGTATTGATTTTGATGTGTCTCAGTCATTCCTCATTTGAAAAAAAAATAAAATTACTACGGGTAGTAAAAAGAAAAAAAACCAACTTGCAAAGATTTCCATAAAAATTGTTGTAAATTAATTCCCTATTTGTGTCAGTTTAAAAACTTATTCCCACAATGTTGTCCACGTAGGATTGGATGGAGATTTATATATATATATATAGATATTTTAAAACAAAGAACCGCTAACGTCGTTAGCGGTTCTTATATTAAGTTTTAACTTGTGAAGTTTTCTTATACAAGAACCGCTAACGACATTAGCGGTTCTTTTGAAAAAAAAAAAATAAATAAAAAAAAAAAAATACCAATCTTCCAACCAACTTGCGTGAAAAAAAAAATAAAAAAAATAAAAAACCAAATCAAAGTTCATTAAATTCGTGCCTTTTCAACCTCCCTAGAAAGTCACTAAACCCCTTCTCTCAAAAACCCCTCACAGCCAAAACTTTGCCGGCGACGGTGCCGTTGTCTATATATGCCTTAACCCCACTTCAATTTCTACTTCACAGCATCGGAAGCGCAAACATATTTTCATACTCAAATTCTTATATATATATTTTTTTTTTGTTTTTTTGGTGAAAAATTCAAATATTTATTCCCTACTTTTCAGGTAATTGAACCCCAACTCATTTATTCATCAATTTTCCAATATTTAACCTCTAATTGTTTCTCCTAAAGTCCTAATTAATTATTGCTGTAATTTTTAGTTTCTGTTTTTTGTTACTGTATTTTCTATAAGCTGTCATTTTTGCCAATTTTTTTTTAATAATTTGTTGATTATCATTTTTGACATTATTCATGCTCTTATATATTACTGGGTTGCTAGCTACTGAATTTAGATATGTTGTATTTGGGAAATTAATATGCAATTTAAATGCTGGAAATTAACTATTGAATGTTATATGATGAGTTCTAATGTTCATTTCTTGTGTTTTCGAAGTCGATGACATTCTAATTTCTTGAATTTTGATATTGCCGTCGTATTACTAACATTAGAAGGCTCGTTTTTATGTTGTAGATATGTAATATACACAAGTTACAGATTTACAATTGGTACAAATGTTGATTCCAATCGACTATAATTATGTTCTAAGAAAATTGAAGCATGCAAATTTTCGGATAATTCTCACCTTTACATATAAATTACTAATAGAGAAACTATTAAACTTGAATTATGAGTCACTTTTATCAAGAACAAAAGGTCTCACCATAACATTTGTATTACAATTACGAAACCTCTAAACTTTAATTTACAAGCTATTATTGACAAGTAGAAATAGTGAAGACTTTAGTTTAATTAAGCGAAAAGAAAATTTCTATAACTTAGAGATAGGGAACAGGATAAACTTGGAAATGAAGTTTCCAATTTCTGTTATCAATGACATTCTCTGACTCAAGCTTGTAATTAAGTCAAAAAATTAGTCATTGGGGCTTGTCACATTGAATAGGAGGGAGATGACAAGTACTAAGAGAAAATTTTGATTTTGATGAGCTTGAGCGGGCCGCTATAGAAGTGAGCCCAATTGGCAATCTTAGGGTATGCGAATGAAGGAGTTGTCTGAAGATTGAATTGTAATTTGAAATTACCACCAAGACTTTGTTCTCTTCAGGTTATTTTGTTGAATTTGACTTTTTTTGCTAATTCTAGATCTGACTGAATTAATCTTATTTTTACAAAACGTACATTTTTTTTCACTGAATAAAGCATATATTGATGAAGTTAGCCGAATTTTTGCTGTGCTGTAATCTGTTATGTTTAGTTAAGGATGCTTTATGAAATTCTGGTATCTTGGTTTTGCTTTAGAAGTCGTTGAATTTGATCTAAATCAAAATCTAAATTCTTGCATCACCCAAACGATTTAAACAAGGAATTTTAGTCAGTTTAAGAATTATAATTCAGAAAACAGCTCAAAAAAGTTTTTCTGTTTTACGTTCTCATTATACTTATATCATCATGACATATTTTATTTCTTTATCTTTATTTTTTTATTTTTTATTTTTTATTTTTAATTTGGATGATATCTAGTAGACTATACTAGATTGTGTTCCATTCTATACTTATGAATATTAATTTGAACTGATTGATGTTTCCTAAATTTTCTTAGGTTTGCTTCTTTACAATCTTTGCCCTCATTAAGACGAAATTATCCTACCGTTGTTTTGGTTGATACATGATTTCTCATTGAAGGTACTAGAAGTGGTTCTTTTGAAGAAAGCAAACTCGTTGTCCGATTTTTCTTTTTTTCTTTTACGCTTTCTTTCTTAAGAAATTGTGGAGCCACTTATTAGTTAATTAGCCAGTCTTAAGTAGGATTCATTTTATGATTGCTTAGGAAGTTAGGAACTACATCGAGTTGATTTATAATATTGATTGTCATCTGGTGTCTCAAATATGTTGTCCATAGGGAATTATGGGTATAATATATGTTGTGAACTGACTTGTGATGTTAGATCTTTACATCTTATGCTATGTAAGTGTTCAATTTGATCTTATGTTCACTACTCCATTCCTATAATTCTTGAATCAGGAACCATCAGTGGTAAAAGAAGAATGTCTCATTATCGTGTAGCACCTCTACACAAACTCCTAAGAAATGCCATGGGGATTAGCTGCACCAGCATAACTTCTTCCACTAGAACTCCTGCTGGAATTGGTCTCTTCTCTCGGCGTCTTCTTCAGCCGTTGTCATATTCACCTCCCCGATATTATTGCGCCAATCATGTCTCAAATATCAACCCGGTTGCCCTACAAATGGTTGATTATGCTCTTGGCCTTGCTCGCTCTCAGAAAACTGGTCTCTCTATTCCCTCTCTCCAATTGGGAAATAGGTTTAAATTTTTTTTTTCAGGATTTATTTTTTTGCTTTGCTGTTTCTCTTTATTTTGTTCGAATTATGGACACTATCTAATTTATTGGGAATTTTACTTTCCAGAATATATTAGGTCTACAATGAACATATTGTGAAATTTGAAGTTTTTGCTATCTTCCTCAAAGATAAGGGTGATTAATTGATGCCTTAAAGGAATACAATTATTGCTGATTTACTTTCTGGAATTTAATTTTTGTTGATTCTGTTTAAACTTAAAAAATTGTTCAATTTATTTTGGGTGAAAAGGCAACATGTATTTTTCCAGAGTCTCTGCCCATTTAGTTTATGTTGATTGATTCTCTATTTGTTTTCTTAGTGTAAAATGTTTGCTGTTATTGGCATTTGGCAGATGAATCATATGGGGAAGCTTTGCTGGTATTGGAGCAGGGTCTATCTTCTCAATCACAAGAAGGGCCAGATGCTACTGTAGAGAATACCAAGGGGGTGATTTTACTCGCTATTTCTAGTCTATTGTCTGAAAGGTTTGCCAGGCAACACTATAAAATTGTGATATTTCTTATATTAGCTGCTCGGATGATGATTGAAGTTAATAAATCGGTTCATTTCATTTGGTTTAGGGGGAATATTGATGAAGCTATGCAAGCCTTGCTGATGATCCAGGATTTAAGTAGCTCTTATGTTGGTGTAAGAGGTAAGATTGAAACAATACAATTGTTTTATTTCATGGATGCATAAGTTTCGTTCACAGTTCTATTACACTAATTCTTTGCTGCTGTAGTTGCTGCAATGGAAGCACTTGTTGGGCTCAATTTAGAAATCGGTTTGGTAAGATCCTCCAGGCATAAATTTTTGCACTTTTATAAATATCATTGTTTGAACCTTTTTATACGAGTAACTTTGTAGTCTATTATGGATTCTTAGTCTATGCTTATGGTGGCTTTGGTATGTCTACTTCCCAATGTGTGTCTGTTTTTCTCTAGTGAGTGACTATCTATATGAACGGCGTAAATTCATTTGGGTTGTTCTTCCTTGTATAGGATGATACCTCATCAGTGCTCGCAGATAAGTGTTTGAAACTATTGGAGCATGAAAGCTTGGAGACTGGTGATGAGCGTGGCTATAAAGTTTTTAGTGCACGTTCTAAAGCCATTAAAGGCTTGGTTGAGATAGTTCATGGAAATATGGAATCAGGTAAAGAGATAATTTTTGACCTGTTGGTTTGTACAATATTTTTTTACTGGTTTTTCTATAATGACTAGGTTTTTGGTTGTAGCCAAGGGCTTCTTTGAAGGTTGTCGAGATGAGGGCTGCATTGGTGAGATTTCATTCTTTCAAGCTGATTATAAATGTCTGACTTTTACATGCCTTAATGAGCTTGTCATGCTTGGTAGGCAATGCATCTCTGTCATATGGTGAATTCTTGCATGCTAAGCGGGACTTCAATGCTGCAAAGGAGTTGTATCAAAAGGCCATTGATGAATCATCTGAGAAGAAGAATTTCAATTATCCATATGACTTGGGGGCATGCAATATGTCACCAGAAGAAGTTCTGTTGGCAGCCACATGTGCTTTGGGGCAGCTTGAGTCTCATTTGGGGTAAGTAGAGATTGTAAATGATATTCCTGTGGTCGTGGCCTTTTCTTCTCATCAACTTGTTCAAATGAAGTGATCGTTGTTATAATTGTGCTTTATCAGGAATTTTGGGGAGGCAGAACTGATTATGACAAGGGCATTGAATAAAGCAGAAGAATCTTTTGGTAGCATTTTTGTTTTCTCCTGAAAAAGCAGGTTAATTTTAGCTGCTTGTAAAAATAATAAATATTCCCCTTGATCTATGCAGGCACACACCATCCTAAAGTGGGAGCTGTCTTAACTTGCATAGCACTCCTGTATCGACAGAAAGCAATTGCCGAACGCTCAAGCTCTCTCTTGATACAAGAGGTGAGATCGTTGCATCAATGACTTTAAATAACCATTCATAATGTCTCATTCTGGCTTTTATTTTCAATTGTTGTTGCTTCTGTATTGGTACCACTTTGAGTATATGACTAGACCCAAGTTTTTTTTTTTTTTTTTTTTGACAAAAGCAACTAAAACTAGAGCTACAGAGAAAAGCTAAATAAATTACTTCTACACCAACCCGAAATATTATGCGCTTTTGTTAGTTGGTCTCTACTCACTTTCTAAATCTTACACAAATGTAACATTCCTTTTACCTTCAATAACTCCCCAATGGTCCATAGTAATCTCACTTCCCTTTGATTGGAGTGCCGCAACAGTTGAATAAGAGCTATAGAATCTGTAGAAATAGTAATACGTTGATAGCCTTTCAGTCGTGCCCATTTTATAGCTTTCAAGCAAGCTATCATTTTCGCATGTAAAGCCAGAAGTGCCGTACCAAACTCCTTTCCTCCATCCAAAAAGTTAACAGCATCGACAGAGTAAGCCCATCCAAAACCTGCATGTCCTGTATCTTTTTTCCAAGATCCATCAACCATGATAACCACCTGTATATCCCTTTCTAAAGGAGCGCTTGGAAGTTCCATTCTACTTCCAATGTTGATCCTGTTAAAACCTGGTGGTTGATCCCCATTAATACCCAAATTTCGTTAGAGACTTGAAGCTGTTACACCTGGCTTAAGGAAAGAGGCAAGACTATTCGTTGTAAGATCAAAATGTCTCAACAGTCCGTTAGTTAACCACCTTCATTCCTAAAAACCCTGGCATTCCTTGTTAACCGATGACTCCACAATACTCCTATAAAGATATGTAATCTTCTACTTTGCTTCCCATCCTCGCTATAAAAAAGCAGGATATGATGCTGAATCCAATGTCTTAAAAGGAGTAGGCTCAGAGCTAATATGCAAAGGGAAATTTTGCCGAGCATACCAAGTAAGAGAGCAAAACCTAAAAAGGTGTTGCAAATCCTTTCCACCATACCACACGAATCACAAGTACCTTCCAATTCTACCCCTTGTTTTAGCAAGTTAGACTTAACAACCAACCTATTCATAACCAGTTTCCATAACAATAAACTACATTTTGGGGGAATATTTAGTCTCCAAATGAGGTTGAAGAAAGAGTAGTCATGATCAGTTACCTGTTCCACAGAAAAATCACGCATTAGAAAGGCATATCCGGTCTTAACAGTATAATTGCCCGAAGGATGATAGTTCCAAAAAAGCATATCAGCCTCATCAGTTGATGGCAACTCCATTTCCTGAATTCTCTTAGCAGTGTTCCACTCAAACCGGTCTCGCACTATCGCAACATTCCATGGGTTATCCAAGATGAGATCTTTCACCCTACTGGAACCAATTCCAATTCAACACTGGGGAAGGTTAGACTCAGGTACCGTACCTTGTACCCACTTTATATTATCAACTTTAACTCTTTCTCTATTACCTATCTTCCAAGCGTATCCTTGGACTAGCTTGTCCCCCACGGATCGAAGCCCCCTTCTCTCCCACGAAATATTACGGCATTGGGTCCCTTAGTCAAAATCGAGCAAGCATGATTAGGCTCTAAAGCACGAGCCACTAACAACTGTGGGTTGCATTGCATTCTAACAACTTGTTTAAATAACAAAGCGTTAATTAAGCAAGCCATGGACTTAATACCAAGACCTCCCATATCCTTCGGGAGCTGTAAAGTATCTCTGTTCACCCAGTGCATACCCTTATCCCCTTTATTCGCCCAAAAGAAATGAGCAATTAGAGAATTAATCCTATTAGTAATAGAAACTGGCAACTTGAAGCATTTTATAATGTTTGAAGAAATGCTCGACGCTAATTTTGTCGATTGAGATAAATTTATAACATTCCAAGACATAATCCTCCGGGACACTTTATCAATCAAAAACTCGAATGCCCCCCTCTTGCCAACTAGAAAAATAAATTGGGGGCCCAAGTGCCTCTCCTCGAGCGGATGAAGTTGGCCAATACGAAGAATAGTTTTGTACTCCTCGATTTCAGCTGTTGTCTCGAAACATTGCCAAACTTATTTAGGATCTTTGTCTTTGGTAGCCTGAAAATATAGCATAGCATCATCAGCAAAAAAAAAAATAAGTGTGAAATATATGGTGATCTTCGAGTCACGCGCAGTCCCTTGATTTGTTTAATATTCTCTTCCATTGAAAACATGCGCGAAGAATATCCATGCAAAAAAGAAATAGATACAGGGGGATTCTTCCTGTCGCAAACCACAAGAAGGTTTAAACACCTCCGAAACTTGGCCATTAATTAGTGTTCTATAAGACATTGTAGACACACACTGTGAAATCCATCGAGCCCAATTTGGAGGGAACTTGTACACCCGTAGGACCTTGTGCGGGAACATCTAGTCCACTCGGTCATAAGCTTTGGGCATATCCAACTTGCTAACTGATAAAGGCCTCATTATTAGTATTAACAAGAACATTATCTTCCACATTTCTTCCTGGCACAAAAGCATGTTGAAATTCAGTAATGAGATCCGAAAGTAGCGAATTCATTCAATTTACAAGGCATTTGGCTGTGCACTTTTAAATAGTATTACATAGACTTATAGGCCGGAATTGTGAAGCTAACTCTGGAATATCCACTTTCGAAATCATAACTAATAGAGAAGTGTTAAGCTCCTTTAACAAGTAACCTATAGAGGAGAAAGATTGTACCGACTCGGGAACCAACCGTATCCCAGTGTTGATTAAAAAATTCCGCTATAAACCATCCCGAAGCCTTTAGATTATGTATAGAAAACATCGTCTTTCTAATTTTCTGTGTAATAAAAGGTCAAATTAGATCTACCGCATTGACAACTTTGGCAAATCTAGTTCCCGAAGAACTATATCCATTCTTTCTTCTCGGTTATTCGGAATCGGCCTAGCTGGGATATGGACCTCTTTAAGGGTATCATGAATTAAGACCTCAAAATTTTTTTGGCCAATCACCCAGCCATCCCTTCTCCTTCCTTGTCTCAAAGTGATAATCTCTCTTCTTTTCTGCCGTTGCTTAACCCGATTATACATCATGGTGGAGGGGCAGTCACCTTCCTTAGACCATCTCTCTTTCATACGTTGTTGCCAATAATGAAATTCCATGGTACTCTTTGAAATTTGTTCATTAATAGCTTGCACATAGTCTATCGCCTCTCGTAAAGTACTGATATTAGCACCTTGATCTTGCAACTCTTTCGAATACCTCCTCCAATTTATGCCCCTAATCTTTTTGTTGTTCAAACACCATCGTTGTATTTTATGGCGCAACCACTTGCATCTTTGAGCCTGTTTAAATATAGAGGAACCATTACATTCAAGACTCCAAACTTCAGTTTTAAAAATCTTTAATTTCTGGAAAGACCAAACGCCATGTTTTGAATTGATACGGCCGATTTGACTTCAAAATCAAGGAGTTGGTATCATAAGTAATCGCCGCATTATCCGAAACTGTTATAGGTTCGTGAATTAACCTACCGTCAAGGGAATTCATTAAACCATTGTGACGAGGAATAAGCTCTATCAATCCATTCCATAATTAACTCCGATCCCAATCTCTTATTCGTCTAAGTAAAGCGAGGGCTAAGTAAATCACTTTGAAATCTCCAATTAAGAAAATTATCCAACCCCTTTATCACACTAGAACCTCCTAACTTATCACTCAAAGACTCCAATTGAATTATGTCTCCCATAATCAACACATTTGGAGAATTATGTAAAAGCAACGAAATATCATCCCACACCTTAGCCCAATCCTCAACCTTAGACGCTCCGTACAAAAACAAAACATGTGTATTTGTTCCATTAACATCAACTATCTTACAAAAGAGAAAATTTAGGAGAGGAGGCAATACAAAAGACATCTCCTAAGTACCGACAAAACAAAGCAAGTCCTCCTCTAGTGCCATTTGATTCTACCCCAAAAGAAAAGTTAGGAGCAAAATTTACAACCAACTTACTAACATCACTAAACAACATTTTAGTCTATGAAAGAAACATAAAAGATAGTAAATTAGTAACTAATAACCACACTAAATAAGGGTGTGTAGGGGAAAGTGGGCCATTAAGCCCCCTACAATTCCAAGTAATTAACTTCATAAATCCTTCGGAGTTGACCCAATGCAGCCTCCTCACCATTTTGAATAAACATAGAATCCATAAGAACTTGTTGCACTTCCATGTCAAAAGCATCAAGATCGTCATAAAGTTTCGAAGTAACCTCCTTACTTCGTTGTTTCTTTGATGGGCCCGAGGAGGATGAAGAGGTAGCAGCAGCCCTCTTTCGGCCTCCCTTCTTGAACACATTGGAGCTAGCTTTCACCCCTGCAGCCGCGCATCATCCACATCAGTAATGGTCTTTGACTTAAATCAAAGCACCCATTTTTATGACGCATCCAGATGCTGAATCCACCCTTGTCAGCCACCTATATAAAGTTTTTAGTCTTTTTTTCTCGAGCCAGCCTAAGTCATAAGAGCTAGCCCTAACATTCTCATAATCACGAGGATTTATCGGCGAACATTCGATATTTCTTGGTCTCTTTCCCAGAATTCTATTGCAAAAATTCATTAATATCAAAAGAACCAGGCTGTGAACCCGGCAAATTCGGCGGATCGAATTATGTCATTGGCAAGTTTTGGAACTCGCCACCAAAAGAGTGCGGTGAATCCGCCGGGAACAAAGCCCTAGGGTGATCCAAAAACACCCTTTGCGCCCTTGAAAGAGATAAAGATTAAATTAATCTTCTTCCTGCCTCCACAAAATTCAAATGATTAGCATCAAGAAAATCATCATAAGAATCAGCACCTCGTCAGGCAAGTTGTTGGTTGCACCACCCAAGTTCGGAGCACCAATACAAGGTTTGGAACATCTTGTAACTACCCAGTCACTTCAATTATCGTGCCTTCTTGTTCCCAATTTTCAATCCCTAAAACTTGAAAAAGACTACGAGGTTGCCCATCTTCCAGTTTCTTTGTGCACCGCTGCTGAAGACGGCTCCCCCACCTCAAAGGTGGAACCACCAAACTGAGGAATTGTAGGTGGCGGGGAAGAAGAAAAAACATTACTTGAGTTGATTCTATTCGCCCTATAAGGCTGAATAGCCGCCCTTATAGGTGAATAAGATGATGTTGGAGGTAGAGTGTTGTTGCGTGAGTTTGATAAGGTATTCAAACCCAGATTCAACGGTGACGGAGGATTATTCAGGTTTGGCATCGTATACTCAGCATACGGGTCCTATCTCAGCCCTAATCGCGCCGCCCTGGAGAGAGGCGGACAACCTGTTGACCGATTCTTGCCTCCCTCACATTGCCATCCTCCACCCCGGAGCTACTTGAACTGTTAGAACCTGTAAAGTAAGCTGTATCGGGTCTTTCATCCGAGTTAAAGTCAGAGTCAGAATTGTCATCAAACTAATTCCTTGCACGCAAGGGTGCATCCTCCGGCTCTTCCAACCTAATCAAAATGATAGTTGCGAAACCTAAAAATATCTGGCAAACCTCGGATAAAATTAGTGTAATAGGGATAATCTAAGGGGCCATGCAATACCCTCTAACCATCCCTTTCGACAACGAGAAAGTCACCTTGCCACATCAATTCTTAAAGCACAATTTCCAGAATTATGTCCAACTCTACCACATCTTATACGAAAACGAAAAACACCCTCATACCTGAAGTAGACCCAAATCACTCGGTCACCTTCAATTAGGTTATAGCACTCAGGAATCAGTGGTTGAGTCATGTCAATCACTGGCATTCACAATAGGCTCCAACTGGTCGAACAAAGATCCTTCTTGCCCATGCCTCCGTTAAATACGGAAGTGGCAATCCATACACACGAACCCAAATTCCGGAAGTTGAAAAGCTGATTTGCTGAGGAATGAGACTAGCTTCATAACGCCTTAAATTGATGAGACGACCATCAAAAGTCATCGTGGCTCAAGATATTTAGAAAACAATGAAAATATCTAATGTATGACATTGGTATAAGTAGCATGTTGTTAAAGGATGGATCCTATTAGCTGTCCATGATTCTTGAAGTCTATGAGTAGTTATGAAACTGAACTAAGAGAAACTACTTTTGTCAATCAAAAGGCAATTTTTTGGAAACTGGAATAATATGATGTATTCTTATGGAATATTACATTGTAAAATCACATACCAATTCTATTTAATTTATTTGATTTGTTGCAATGATAAAGGCAAAGGCATGGCAAAATTGATCTGTACCAATAACTTAATCCAAATCACCTATATGTACCGGACTCAAAAATTGTGTGACTTATAAGACTGTTGAGAGTGTTGACCAACTTATCTTATACTCCCTCCGTTTTCAAGTACTTCCTCCACTTTTCATTTTCACCCGTTTTTTAATACTTGCTCCATTTCCTTATTTGGAAAGCTTTTACAATATTTAATTCACTTCTCTCAACTAGTGGACCCAACATAAATCATATTTTATTAATTTCGTATTCTCTCTCCTCCAATTCTCTCAACAATTTTTTCTTTTTACAGTTTTTTATTCTTCCACCTACCCCGCTACCTCCATATTTTATTATTTTCTCCGGTTTCTCCTAAAACTCGACTTATGGAGAAATGGATCAAGTATTCAAAAACAGAGGGAGTACTAAGTTAATTGGCAAAAGATTTGAATATGGCTAGAACTAAATAAACTCGAATGGGGCTGAAACTAATTTGAATGGACTTGTTGCTTGAATATGGCCCGTACTAAACAAAATCCAAACGACTTGTCGGCCATCTCTACGGTTGCTATACATTGGTTCATGCAAAAAACTTAATTTTGTCAAAGAATGTTGTTTGACCTTGACCAATTGACTAAGTTTGTCGATTATCATTTGGATTTCTACTATTTTCATTTTTCCTCATGGAATGTGATCTGCTTCTGCTCCACAGGGACTCTACAGGAAGGCTATAGATATGCTAAAAGCTCCTCCATTAGAGACAGATGGTATGATACCATTGCGCTTAAACATCTCTCTTTTTTTACGTAATGGTTAGTAAAGTGGATGTCCCAAAATTAATTTCTTCTTCATTGTGTTAGATGCAAAAGCAAATGTGGAGCATGTTCGAGAAAACGTGGATAAAAGGGATATCGTTGCCCTTGCCAGAGGTATGCTTGGTCCAGTATAATTTACGGGAATCATCATCTCTTGGATTTTCCTTAGTATCTTATTATCTGAAATGTGTTCAGTCTGATGGTTTTGCATATTTTGAATGAAGTCAATGAACATTGAAATCTGTTGCCTATTTGGATGAAGCCCTGTTTCTCTTGTACTGTGGTGGACTTCATTAACATTCCTTATGTTCTAATTATTTACCTGTAGTTGAGAACTTTATAAATGATAAATATCTTTAGCTTCTACCTGTTACTTTCATTTCCTTTGTCCATGATCGCTTTTACTAATCTTCACTTCTTATGCAGGGGGTTATGGTGAAGTACTTAGCGTCCAGCAAAACAGAAATGCTGAAGGAGAAAGAATGCAGAAATGGGCAGAGGCTTGGTGGAGAAATCGTCGGCTATCACTTGCAGAAGCAATCGACATATCCCAGTCTTCTTCCAAAGTCCTGGTACTTGATACTAGGATATGCAGAGCACTTTAGATGCTGAAACATCCTTCTGTATCAAAAGATCTGTGAGTCTCTAGATGCTGTACAAAATAAATCAAGCAACTAATTTTGTCTTGCTACCTGATTTGTACCATTCTACATTTCTGCTGTCATGTGGGGTAAATGAGAACTTGTGTTTGTTTTATGGCCTGTCTGTGCAAGTACATGGCAATTTTGGATTTAGTGGGTAAAACACTAGGGATTTCTAGTTGCTGATCTGTTCTAAGCCATGTCTAGTCTAAAATAATTGTATGAAATTGATGTCTATCATAAGGAATAATTTCATGTACATCTTAAAGTGCTATGGTATATCATAATATTAGAGAGAACTGTGAAGTTGCTCTTCTTATGATAGTAATGGAGGCATATAAGTTGTCAAGATGGTGTAGAAAGTAGCTATTTTCCACTCTTGGAGATTGGCCATATTGCTCATTATGGAGTGTTTTTATTCTGAAATTACCTCTTTATCAAATAGCTATACCCAACATATAAAAAGATGCTGTAAGATTAGGCAATAATATGCCTGATTCTGGAGATTGATTGATTACAACTTGGCCTATTGGCTTGGTACATCACAGTACACTTGTTGCTCGACTGCAGAGCTTTTATATCCAGTGTGTTTTCTAGCAAACGCTACATGAAGCACTTCTGAAGTGATTAAAAAAAGCATGCAGAATTTGGTAATTGAAAATATAGAGTGTTACAGGTACAGCAACTATATGATACATGAAATTCTAAACGGCTTCTCTTCAGAGTGGAATATCAAGCCCTTTTCCGATTTCAATGCCTATAAGTTGTAGTATCCCCTTGTTTAATATCTGACAAAAACATCATCGTCAATGATCAAGTTCCAAAATATAGCATAAATCAGAAGCTCAAAGAAACAATCAACTACGTTTGAGCAAGAAAGATGTGGGAAACTTATCATACAAGTTCAACAATGAACGTTCCAATGAGGCCAATCATACATGCTCGCGAGTTCCAAATTTCAGCAGTCTTGGTGAACCCAAGAAATGAGGGCTTAAACTTAGGTTCTACTTTCGGCACCACCACCTGATCAAGTCAAATGATTCAGCCAAATTGACAGAGAAAAGGCCAGAAGAGACGAGATGAGAAAAATTGAATCCTATACATGATTGATATGAGCTGCAATAATGATCCATTAAGGTCCAATTTCTTTTAAGACATAATTAGGCAGAGAAATGACAGGTTAACGCATCAATGAAATACGGCTTATTTAGATTTAATGGCTGTCACCAAGTTCTTTCTCTAGGCATTGCCATAAGGCATATATATTAAAGAAGTCAATCCATCACCATAGTTTAAGATAACAAAGCGAAACAACAATTATATACAAAGAACAATAAAACATGAATTACCTTGCATTTGTAAGACGGTTAAATAAACACACTTTGATAAGCTAATTAATAGAATAACATTCCTAACATTAATCGCCGTTATATTCAACAAGTTTACTCACCTATATCACATAAAAGTTACCCATTTGTGCAATTAACTTTTATGTAATCTGGGATGACTAAACCTGTTGTATATACTATACTCGCAAAATTGCGGGGGATACAAGTTTTAGCTACTCCAAAATGGGTTGCAAAAGGTTCCTCTTCCCACTTTATTAAACAATCATCACCACTTTCATGAGTTCCATCTTTCTACAACCCCCCTTTCAGCCTCTAATTCTCCCCTCATTATAGGCACAACGCAACAATTATTCCAATGAAGAGAACAATTTTTTAGCATACTTTTAATAATCATGCACATTACATCAAATCTCACATGTAGTGACTAATGAGGAGTGGAGTGACTGTGCCTCCATCTCCCCAGAAGTGACCAAGGTTTGATGCTCACCCCATCTCTCCTGTCACACGAGGGGCACCCTGTAACTTGTACATGTAGAAATTTTATAAGTCAACTACTTAAACAAACTAAAAAATAGAAAGAAAGAAAAATAAAATAAAATTGGCGGACTAAAAATTCTGAAGACAGAAATAACATACACCAGCAGGGGGCTTGGCAGCTCTGACTCTGAAGGCACCATGATTAGTCCCAGCTCCATGATTTCGATGGCGAAGGCGGCGACCCGATGGCGGAAGTAGAGATAAGTTAGAAGCTGCCGCTGCGGGTTGAGGCTGTTTCAATGGATTAACCAGAAACTGAGAGTTGAATAGAGCCACTGATGCCATTAGTTTTGAGCAAGGTAATGGTGGGATGAAAGTTGTTTGAACAAGGGTGATTGGTTTATGGACAAACGGATCAGTTACGTCACAGATTTCATATTGTGGCCTGGTTGCTTTGATTGGATGAGGTTGTTACATGTACAAGTAGTAGGCTAAGAAAATAAAATAAAATATGTGAGTAGGATTTCTCCATCTCTATTTTAAGTTTTTAACTAATTCTCCCTTCTATCAACCTCACTTGTTAATCTGAATTGATTTTATTTAGGTTACTTCCTCTTTTTCAAGATAAATTTTACCATTTAACTGTAGTAGTACATTTTCAATGTAAAAAAATCGACTAATACTTTTATTTTTGAAAAATACATTGAGATGATTTTTACAAATATTTCCACCGTCATCAAAAGAATGACCCTTTGGGTTAACATGTATTGTTAATATAGGGGTATAGTGGTCTTTTTGATCTATGTAACAAGGATAGTGGAGTAAATTCACCACCAAGAACAGTACTACCTCACTAGATGCTAATTTGCATCGTTAATTCCTTTCCGTCATCTACTCATCTCCATATCCACTTCTTTTTTCACTCAAATTAAAACCATTAATGGAGAAATTGGCGGCTACAATGGACAACTTAAAGGTGATGACAAATATCTACCCTTTGGGGTTAACCATGCCCTTTGTTTCACCCTTTATCATTAGGGTTTTCGTTTAAGTGGTGGCGGTGGACATGTTTGAGCATCTTCAATGGTGGATGAAAGCTTGGACATCTTCAATGGTGAGCGAAAGCTTGAGCATCTTCTACGGAGGATGAAAGCTTGAATTGGGCATTTACTTAACGTTAACGACGAAAGCTTTGTTGGGTTACAGGTGGTAGTAGAAAAATAATAAAATAATATATTTTACTCCTCATATTTACAAAATTGCCATCATATTAACAAGCTTTGTTAATATGGCATATTAAATGGGTTCTCCTCAAATTCTAGTCTTAAAATGATCACTTATTTGCAAAATATTCTCTATTTTGTAACAATATTCGTGCAAAATTAGCTATTCATATAAATTTTGAATTTTATTTTCCAATGTACTTTTACTACTTCCTCTTTCATTTTCTCAATAATAAAATTCCTATGGTCAATGCTTGAGAGTAGAAGGGGAAGGTAAGTACTAAGTAGGTAAGGGAATCGCCCTACTCCCAACTTTCCAAGCCAATGTAGTTGTTGGTGAGGCTCAAACTTGTAACTTTAAAGTTAGAAGATTAGTTTTCCACTAACACTACCAAACTTTGATTGATTTCTAATCAATAACAAAATACTGAAACAGACACCAAGAATGACACATGTCACTTCTTGATGCTGTTTTTACCGTCCAAATTTTTTTTTCTTTTTTTTTCACTTCTAAAAAAAATCATTTTTTATATTATTGTGATTCACTTTCTTAAAAAATATTCACCACATCATATAATTATAATATTCATTTCCTAAATAAATATTCACATATTATCCATATCTTTTACTCAGTATTTTATAAAATATTTTATTTTCATATTTTTTTACTTTTTGATTCGGAACTCAATTCTGGTTTTAAATTAAGGTTCAAACTTTTTCATTTCCATTTAAAAATATGAGGATTATTTTTTGGTAGATTTTAAATCTATCTATCTATATATTATACTAAAAGACAAGCGCCTCAATGTGAGGATGACAAATGTCACTCTCTCATTAGTTTATCTTATTTATAAAATATATCTATATAATTACTGTTTACATATTTAAGCATAGTTATTTTTGTTAAACTTCAAACAATAAAAGCAAGTTTCTATACATGCATAAGATTTTCATGATTTTCCAACATAAATATTAATTTAATTTTTTATAATAAATATATACTTTCCAATACTACAAATAATCCATAAAATCTTTCCAATCTTTATTTATAGTTAAGTTAAAGAATAATAACTCATTTGAAACAATATGATTAAAGTGGCATAATTAAGAAAACAAATATTTCATATTTTGAAAGGCTAATATTGTTTTTTTTTATGAAAATTAAATAAAATCGATAATATTTAGTTTGACGTCAATTATGAAATCAATACAAACATTTTAAAAAAATCAGATGTACAATAAAATATTGTGCACCTATTATAAAAGCTGCCCTGTAATGAATGAAAGTTATTTATGCTTTATTGATAAAAGTTACCCAAAATAATGTAAAAGTTTTTGATAAAGATACAAATTAGTGTAAAAATTACTTTTATCGTTTGTTGTACTCCTTGACAAATAGTGAATGCTGAGCCGAAATGTTGTCGTGGAAAAAAATACATAATCTTGAACATAAATTTAATTTTAATCGGCCTTTCATTTTCTATACAATGTCTTTTACAATGACCTTTTGTTTTTCTTGCATAAAAAAAAAAAAAAAAAAAAAAAAAAAAAAAAAAAAAAAACCTATGAACCAATAACCAATCTAAACAAGAGGAATAAAAGTTAAATTGAATTAGACATTTGACAGAAAAGGGATAAATATAAAATGCATTATAACTATTACTCATGTTTTAAATTGTAATATTCGTATTAACAATGCAATTACTTATGAATTTTTTTATAGAAAAACTACATTTTGATTTAAAAATCGTGCTTGCTCATGTACTATACTAGATATACAACAATCATGTGCAATAATTTATGTTGTTTCATACATAATAATACTTTTAACTATAATAATGTGTGTATATAATATAATATTTTTTATAATATAAAAAAGTATACGTATATAATATAATATTTTATAACACGTGTCCTCCATACCAAGTGTAGTCTCAATCACCACTACACCAATTGGTTGTTGGTGTAGTGGTGATTGAGACTACACTTGGTAGGGAGGACCTGTGTACTCCCCTGCAACAACAATCGGAAAGGGAGTGGAACCTAATAACCTAGAACTGATCCTCAAATCTGGAAAGGGTGAACCGGATAGAACACCCAAAACTCAATGCATATATGACGGGAATTAACTTATCCTTTATCTATCTTATACAAAACTCCAAAGTCTATTATTTTTTTCTTTCAAAATATGATAATAACATTTGTAAATTTTTGTTAATATGAAAGATATAAACCTATCAAAATGTATATATAGTTAAATTGTTTAATAACTTATATCGAATGCGTAGTTGTATTAAAATTATTTGCATGTAATCATTAAATGTGTTGGATGTTGTGTAGCTATGCAATGTCCAAAACTTTAGTTGAGCGACTTTGATTTAGTGATTGTATGGTAAAAAGATATTGACTTCGATCTTGAAACCTAATAGTCTAATAAATTCTAAATAGAAAAATTAAAACAAAAGGAAATGAAAATAGTAAATGGCTTTAAATATTGAAATAAACATAACCTTTTAAATCAATTTAGCGAATTCAAGAGACAATTTTAAGGCATTTAAAATTAAATGGGGGAAAATATATGTAAAAAGAACATTTTTAGATATATAAATGTCCATGCACTATTATAAGAGTTTTGTTAACCTTTTTATAATTAAGGTAGGGATAAATCTTAGTAATATATACTCCGTATATTTTATTTATATAAAATTATTAGTATCCATACCTATATACGAAGTATTTGTGTCGTATACTATATTTAATCAGCTGTTGGTTATATATATGACTATTATATAATATATAGTTTTTGGCACAATGCTTAACTTAGGAAAATATATGTTCTGGTAGGTCAAATATAAGGTTATTATTGTGTCTATAGATTTAATGAGTGCGACGGGTAAATAAAACATGTATATATTAGATTGATTGTAACTACTGATGCGGATGGTATGATAAGAAAATTTTAGTTACGGGAGATATAAATAAATTAGTCCACTTCTTATATAGTTATGTGGAGTATTATTCAATTATTTTTCAATTAATAAAATAACATTATAAAAAATTAAAAGAAATTCAAATAATATAAAATACTATTCAAAAAACATTCCTTTAATTTTTTTTTATTGACCATTAGTACAAGTCCTTTAATAGTAAATGAATTACCTTTGTTTTTATTTTTATTTTTCCTACGGGTTTAATAATTTGATTTATAATGCACGGGCACTATGCTAGTTAACACTATAATTTGTTATAAAATTTTGTAAAAATCGTGCGTTAATCAGAGTATTAAATAATAATGAAGTTATGAAGGTTAAAGCGATATATTTGAATAATGCAAAGTTAATATTATAGCTAATCTTATGGATGCAATTAATAGCACTAATCGCTTTCTAAAACAAAAAATAAAAAAAATTAAAATTCTTATGATGAAACAATAACGAAGGTCAAATGGTGCAAAATTTAATATCCGACATTTATTTTGAAATAAATTAAGAAATCTAGTTATTTACAACTCCATGTAATTCACTTGAGTTACTTTCTACATTTTTAATAGGTGCATCAATTTTGACTTTGTGCAATATCTATATATTTTGTTTGTTTCACTAAAAATTACATTAGATAGTTAGGCTATGTTTTGTAAATAGCTTTTTAGTGGGTTTTTTTTTGGTGGTCGGTGATTTTTAGCTTTTTTATGCGGTGAAACAACCAAAAATATTTTTGGTTAATAGTGTTTTTTTTTTTTGGTAGAAAAACTGGCTTTTAAGCCAAAATAAAAAAACTTTTGGCTTTTGCAATAGTATAATAATTAATAACATGTGTTCTTACACCAACAACCAACAACACATTTTACCAAACAAATTTATATAGAACCACACCAACAAAATGCATTCAGTACAAATAACCAGTCAATAATTTGTTATATACCGGGTGCACAGTGCACCAAGGATATTGTTTGTTTATTTTAATGATTATTGCTCATTTAATCATCACATGAGAAAAAAAATTGCCTTGTACACGCACCCGAGCAAATAATTTTTCTTATAATAGGATAATCGACAATAAACAAAATACTTTCTGAAGATTTTGTCTAAAAAAAATGTTTCAGTAAGTTGTAAACTTGTAATTATATTATCGGAAATTTCACCATATACCACTGAGTTTAAGCATAATTCACCGTATACCACCAAAAACTTTCTAATACACCATATACCACTCAATTATTGTATATTAACACAAAATGCCCTTTTTGCTAACTGCCGTTAGTCTGCCGTTTGGGGGACTTTACCATTATGCCCTTATACATCTAACTGGCGCCATTGATAGGGTTGACTCCATTGACCCCCCATTTCCCCTTTCCATTGAAGCTTCTCTCTGTTCTTCTCCATTAAAATCGAACCCCAAAATCAATCAAAAAGTTTCAAACTTTCATCGATCCCCCTGGCGGCAACAATTGCGATCCCAGCCACTTCCCAGATGGCCGGCGACTGCCCTCCCCTGGCCCCTTCCCCCCGCCGGCGACATTCTCGACCCCTTCCCCCTACGCCGACGACCATCCCACTCCTACTCCCCTTCCCCGAAAATCATCCCCCACCTGTAACCCAATTCCCGATTTCCTCCCCTTCCCCGATTCCCGATCTCTCTAACCCTAAAAAAATCCTCAATTTCCCTCTTGCAAATCCCAATTGGAATATCGACGGCAAAGAAACCACCCATCAAATCTTGACGAAGAGAGAGAAGGTTGAATTAGAAGCGAATTTGTTCGAAAAAAATGTTGATAAGTCGAATGCTGATAAGTCGAATTGATGTTGTATGGTTGCAGATTTTGAGTGTTGTCGGTTCAGGGGGAGAGGGAGGCCGACGCGCTGGCGAGAGAAAGGCTGGGCGCCGGCGTGGGTGGGGGCGTGATAGGGTGGTGGTTGGGGGTTCTAGTCATATTTCGTGCAAGCAGGGGATGTTAGGATAGGGTGGTGGTTGGCTGGGAGACGTTGGTGGTTTGGGAGGAGGACGGGAAGGGGAGATGGCAGGGGTAGGGGGAGCTCTGGAAGGCCGGCGAGGGAGGAGGCTAGGCAAGGCCGCCGGCGAGGGAGGAGGCTGGGCAAGGCCGCCGGCAGGGAGGGGGAGCTGGGCTGGTGGGGGAAGGGGGTGTCGGGGTTGGTGGAGTGAGGAGGTGGTGGCTGTTTTTTTTTATAATTCTTTATTTAACTAATTAATTAGATAATATTAATAAGAGCCAATATGTGATAGCCACGTGGCATAATTAACCTTAATTACTAACGGCGTTAACGGCAGACTAACGACAGTTAACAAAAAGGGCATTCTGTGTTAATATACAATAACTGAGTGGTATATGGTGTATTAGAAAGTTTTTGGTGGTATACGGTGAATTATGCTTAAACTCAGTGGTATATGGTGAAATTTCCGTTATATTATTGTACACTTAATCAGTTAAGATTGTTACTATGAACATGTAGTATTGAAAACTTAAAAAATAATGACATTTTTTATGGATCCCAAAAAGGGCAATTTTGTAATAAAAGTAAATAAATAAATAAAATTAAACTACCTGAACGCTAATCAAGACTACATCTGATAAAGAGGTATCCCTTGGAGAAGGAGTGATCTGGTTTTGTTGATTGCAGAAAAGCAGAGGCAAAATTTCCCCACAAGATCAGTAAACTGGTCGAATAAACTTGCACGGTTCTTCCTTAGCTGCTTCACCACTTCATATGTAAGGTACTTATCCCTACCCCAGTCCAACCCACGGCGAATCAAAAGCCTATCCCCCTCAATTTCAGTATGTAGAAGTGAGACAAGGCGATCAATGGTGTCCAAAGAATGATGCAGCACAAAAGCACTCATGGCTGCAGCATCAAGCTGTGTCATATTTGCTTCTTCCCTCTTTGTAATTTTCGAGGGGAACATTATTGGGCAGCCGGAAAAGCCGACCAGGGCGACCAATGCATGAGCACCAATGGCAATGGCTGCTATAGTAACTCCAACAGCTGCCCCAATTAAACATATTGCTGATGTGGTGGTGCCACAGCGTACTTGACGAACCCTGCCACGGGACTTCTCAAGGCGTTGGTCTACCTGTTGCTTGAGCTGGAAAAAGCAAAGTCGCATGTCTTGAAAGTTGTTCGAATCAGGGCATGGGAAAGGGTTCCCTTTCTGTTCAAACTGAAGTAAAACATCAAAAGCGTGATTGCATTGTAATTCAGTCATAGATTCTGTGTCAGTAGGTAGGATGTCAACAAAGTCATGTACATGGGCATACAGGGAGCGGGCATGATGAATATTACGGTGGAGGAGGAGGAGAAGCTGGCATGTTTGCTCACTGTGTTCAAAGTAAGCAGTGACGAGTTGAGTAAAAGTGGTGGCTGGGGCATGCTGTAGAACCTCATCGACAGCTTCACGATCAGGCTGGAGGACCTGAGACAACAAAAGCTGTGGTTGATGGTCAGTCTCATTGTTCTGATAGTGCTCAACTACATGAATCCTGGACCATATCTCGTTGTAGGAACTTGTCTGAACTGCAAGTGCATACTCTTGTGAGAGATTGACAGTAGGTGAAGGTACAGCACTTGTTCCAGAGGTAGTAGGTGTTCCCTGTGATGAATTCCCTGCTATAGACACCAATATGTTTGAAGCCTTTAGACAAGCCCAAAAGAAAAGATGTATGCAAATACAAATGACATCCCTACACCACTGTCACACAAACTACTATGAAAATTTCATTTAACAAAAATTAATAAATTTTTTGTAAAGTTATCTACCTTCACCTGGATGATGCGTAGGGCTAGTTACTGTGGTTCCAGAAGATGAGGTCAATGGTTTCAAGGGCAAGCAACCCAGCATATCTTGCAGTTTTATCTACAAAGAAGTAAGCAGTCCCCTTTTGACTACCAAATAGTTCAAACATTGAGGTTCACACTGCAAAGCAAAACTTCAGCTGTTAGAAAGGCAATCTACTAAAATTGTTATCAAAAGGCAACAACTTTGAAATATTACTAAACTAGCTTTGAAATATATGTGATTTGAAATACAGTACTTTGAAATGGTATGAAAATATTAAAATGTTGAAATTACGTAGACAAAATCATGCTAAACATACATATTAATCTTCATAATCATCCCTAATCATTTATTGTAAAACTTCTGAAACTCTACACTATAATTACCACTCAAGCCTTGTTTCTCTTTGTTAAAGTAGATTATCATGGAAATATCAAACAAAGGTATTGTTCTTAATAACTTAAAAATACAAAATTTTTTGGTCGTAAGCTCAGATCTAGGTTAATAAATTTGTATCAGTTCAATACCAGGCTCTTAAGTCCAATGGGTCAAAATGCTCTTTGAATGTAAGTGTTTTGTATGAGAAATAAATTTTTGGTCAACAGAAAGACCTACTTAAACAAATTACATCAAGCAGAGCATATTAATATCAGAGTTATAAATTACAAAACAAAGGGAAAAGTGTCCTAAGAAAAGAGAACGAGACTCATAACTGAAAATATAATCCAGGAAATAATCAAACAATGTAGGACAGTAGGACACACTACAAAGACCACATTGGTATTAAATTGATCCACTATAAGAACAAATAAAAAAAATTTGGATAGGAAGATTCTCAGATGTTTCTTAGCAAGTCTTTACCACCAATTACACCCTTCCTGTGACTTTCTATCTCAAAAATGAGCCAATAGCTTAGACATGGCTTGCAGTTGTTTACACCTCAATCTCAATGCAGGAACAATTGATAATATTTGTAGTTTCTTGACAAGTTGGTGAGTACAAAGTTACCAATTAACGGAGACTAACACTTTGTTTGTATTGAAGAAGTGCAGGAAATGAGAGGGAGGGATCATCTTTCATTAGGATAACAAATGAGAAAGAAAGGGAATTGGAGGAGAGAGGAATGGAGTGATTAAATTTTAAGAAATTGATCTCTTCAACAATGGAGAGAGTTGAAAGGATAACTCATCATTCTCTCCCCCCCCCCCACCCTCTTACCTCCCTCCCCTTCTTTTCTTCCCATTTCTTTATCCAAATTCCACATACACCATAAAGGAAGAACTGAAGCCGTAAAGGAAATTACATATACTTCCTGACATGAAAATTCGAGAAATAAGGAAGATCTTTCAACATCTTCATATAGGTAGCCATAAATCATTAAGGGGCCGTTTGGTTCGAACATTGACCCTGATTTAGCTTGATTGTTTGGTTGTGTCTAGCAAACGGAATGAATTGCTCATTGATTCCCTTTGTGACTGCTTGGTTGAGAACCAATCAAATTATGAGTTTTTAAATTTTTTTTTTATTTTTTCCAACAGAAGTCATGAAAAAAATTGTAGTATCTAACAGAAATCAAGTCTCCCAAAATGAGAAAACATTGGTATGTATAAAATTGGAAAAAATTGAACATTGGTATTTTTTTTTTTTTTGGTGATTGGTTTTTTTTTTTGTTTTTTTTTTTTTTTGGTATTTATTTTTGGTAATTGATAGTCGGCCAACATTAAAGGGAAAAAAAAAGGTAAATTATGAACTATTCGTTGTACGTCATTGACTTTCAATTACAAACAATAATTCAACAAAATTAGGAATAAAGTGTAGTTTCTTTAACAATTCATGAAAAAACAGAAAAAAAAAAAAAAAAAAGGGCTTGATTAAGGTATAAAACATGAATTCCAAACAACAAGAACATGAAGAACGATGGTCGGATATTGTCGCCGGTGGTCGTACCTCGTTAGAGTCAGAGATTGTCACTGGTGCACGTAGTTCGGTGGCTGCCATGGTGGCCGGAGCTTCAGTGAGGGTGACGGCTATTTGGGTTTTTTAGGGTTTGAGAGGAGAGAGAGTGTGATGGGTAATGAAGTGGGGAATGGGAATGTAAAAGTCTAGGGGGTGGGAATCAGTGTAGAACATATTTGGGTAAACTCAAAAGTAAAAGTGGGTAAAGGGAATGATATAAAGTAACAAACAAACAACAACAAAGGGAATAAGCCATGTTCATTCCCTTTCCCTTTGATTATAACCCCCAACCAAACGCCCCATAAATTTCATATGTAACCTAAATAATCTACCATGCTTTAGAACAGAAATTCCAATCGTCTCTTATTCTATATCTCTTCAAAACCAAATCTACCCAAAAATCCTATCTAATTTTCTAATAAAGAATCTTCTACTTGCAACAAAGACAAGATTGACACTCCCACTAAGCCTATGAAAAAACTATTGCCTACATACCATCATAAGCAACCACAAGCAATGGTTCATCATCAAGCCAATAACATTTTGAGAAGATGCCCAAAAAAATCCACCTGGTTGACTCTTCATTTTACCTCAAGTGCGCGGTGAGAACCTTAATACTCTTGCCGGGGTACAGAGTACAAACCTTTTGATTCTTCATTTTGCACCAACACTAGAAGCTTATTTATTTATAAAATAGCCGATCTTAAAGCTTGGACACATACCCTTGTCCAATATGGATTCTTGAGTCCGACTAACATAGAAATCCATGACAATATCAAACCGAACTACCTTACATTTTACAAAATTTCCAAAAGGAAAGTTTCCCAACTCCCAACTAGACAACAACATTTCCTTAACTTGCCATTAAAAATTTAAGGTTCCAAAAGTATATATATTCCCAAAGTTCAAATCTAAGTGAGATATTGGAGCACACTTATGTTTCAGATAATCACAGTTCTAGAGATTCAACTCCATAATAGGATAAAAGAAACATCGAGAAGTATTAATACCGAATCTTAACCAATACTGAAAAATATGGACACAACAACTAATCTACTAGTTCCCAGTTTCCTAAAGGCTAAACCAAAGAACAATGTATACCTCAACCTCATTGGCAAGTATAGCAACAACTCGAAACGCGATTCGATATAAATTATTCAACTACTTAACTCAAAATTTCAATCCGAAATTGAAATTGAGAGTTCAAGCATACATATAATGATCCAAAACTACTCTTACAGCTCAAAATTCAGAAAATGCACAAAATCCATACTCTTTTAACTTTTAGCAACATGCAAATGTATTAAAAACCCCTAATTTGAAAATCAAAGTATAAAAAACCATAAAAACTCAACAAATAATCAGATTAAACCCTAAAAATTCAAAACAAAAATTACGAAAACAAATTTATAGTAGAGTCAACTAATTGCTAGAATATTGGGAAAAGCAAATATGAGAACAAAGAAATTAGGAGAAATTGAAGGGAAAAAAAAATTAAAAACCAACCTGAAATTGCAGAAGTAAAGAAGTCGAAGACGTTAAACTTGCAGAAGAAGAGAGGGAGAGGGAGAGAGAGTTGCTGAAGTGATTGAGTCAGAGAGAGTTTCAGCAGCTCACAATAGTGTCAACGCGGTGCATTTTGTTGGCTTTTATATTGCTTCCTTCTACACGTTTTTTTTTTTAAATGTAAAAATTGAAAAGAATAATCCCACCTTTCACTCATCTGCTCAAAATAATCCCACCTCGTCGAATTCCAGAAATAATTACACCTTGTATCTAGCACTGTCAAAACGGTTTGACAGTTCGGTTAGAAATCGGTTCGATATTTAATCGGGTCGGTTTGGAATCGGTTTAATTGTCTCACGGGTCGGTTTTGGTTCGGTTTAAATAGTTATCGGTTCGATTCGGTTTCGGTTTATTCTTAAGCGATTTTAATTCGGTTCGAGTTGTAAACAGTTCGGGTAGTAAACGGTTCGGTGCAAACGGGTTGCGGTTTGTTAACGGTGCGGTGTAAACGGTTTTTATCCCGATTCAAACAGTTTCGGGTTGGGAACGGTTTCGGGTTAGAAACAGTTCGGTTCTTTTTGGGTTCAGTTTATAACTGGTTCGGTTCTTTTTCGGTTCAGTTTTTAACTGGTTCGGTTCTTTTTCGGTTCAGTTTATAACTGGTTCGGTTCTTCGATGGTTTATTACTTTAACGTTATTCATATCGGTTCCATTTCAAGTTTACTAAATTACGGTTCGGGTCGGTTTTCGGTTTCAAAAAATAAATTGTTTATCGAGTTGTTTGGATTCGGCAATTAAATGGTTTTGGTTTGAAATTTGATAGCACTTGCTAACCTTTTGCGTTCACAAGTTTTATATAAAGTCGCGAATCATTTCAAATTTACTTATTTAGGCATCATATTATAAACAAATTCTCATTGATTTTATAAATACATATTATGTTCTGTTTCAAGTTTAGTCATACTGATCTTACTAGTTTATTACGAAGTAGATTATAAGAGTTAGTGTATTAATGTATTATTGTTTTACAATTAGGTTATTATATGCTTCTTATTTAATCATTTATATACTACGCATAGTATCATAATCATGATTTGATGAGTTCTTGTGAAATGAAAATTTGCAATTTGGTAATTCGATACTTGATTAGTCAACAAGACTGATAATTATGACTCGTTTATCATTATATATTTTCATGAAATTATGAAGATATTACAAAGTGCTTTGATTTGTATAATGAAAGAAAACACTAATGACTAATTAACAAGGTAATATTGATTAGTTCAATCGATCATGTGTACACATTATTAACACATGGCATCTAACCATCTCATTGTTAAATATTCGTATCATCGTTATTTGTATGTATTAGTACAAAGTTATAGACTCATTAGTGATCTTTTTAAATTTATCTATTTATACATTTTATTAATATAAGTTTTATAATTTTTACGTGTATGAAAATAAAGATATACTAGTAGATGTTTTAATACGTGTCTTGGGCACTGATCCCGATCAAATGGGGCAAAAAAATACTAAAGAATTGAGGGAATAATATTTTTGTAGATGAATGTACAACACACAAACACACACGGATCACCACTCTCAACCATAGATTAAAAAATCAATGGTTAGATTCTTTCTCCCACAACACACACGGATCACCACTCTCAACCATAGATTAAAAAAATCAATGGTTAGATTCTTCGGAAATTTCACCAAATGCCACTGAGCAATTTAAAAATTCACCAAATGCCATCGGACTTTTCAGAATTCACCAAATGCCATCCAGTTTTAAAAAAATTCACCCAGTGCCATTAATGACCAACGACCGTTAACTCAGTTAGTAATTAGGGGTTAATCATGACACGTGTCATGACATAATTGGATCATTTATCTTAATTCATAAAAATTTAAAAAAAATACAAAAAAAGTTAAAAAAAATACAAAAAATTAAAAAAAAAAACAAATTTTTTTTTTAAAAAACCTAAAATTTTCCCAGCCACCCCGACCACCGCCAAACCCTAACCCCTCCCCTCATCTCGCCGGAAAATGGCCGGTCACCACCAGAACCACCAACAATCGGCCGACCGACCATGTAGCTCCCCACCGACCCACCGCCGACCCCCAAAACCACCCACGCTGCTCGTCCCGACCCCAAAAACCCTGCTCCCTCACTGCCACCACAACAACTCCACCTCCAAGCACCACACTGCCCCCTTTGCTACACCCACACGCACCACCACATCAGCCACGATTAGCACCACCCAGCTCCCTTCGCTGCTCCCACGCGCACCAATTGGTCTAAATCCTCAACCCTGATGCACCGCCACTTCACCGCCACCACTACATAACCCATTTGGGTTTCGAGTGCAACCCAGAAATCCCATTTTCTAGGGTTTCGGGTTTTCTGGGTTAAGTCGATTTTTGGTGGTTTAAGGTGAGGGAATGGGGTTTATAGGAGCCGGAAAACAGGGGAGGGGGTGGTTTCGAGGATGCGGTGGTCGGGAAGGGGTTGAATCAGAACCGTTGCTCATGAAGGTGGAGGTTGGTTGTGGTTTTCGCGGGTTAAGGTTAGATTGGATGGGTGGCGCGTCAGGTAGGGGAGGTCAGAGTAACAATGGTGGGGGTTGGCGACAGCGGGTGATCCCGACTCTGGCAAGTCGGTTTCTGGGCTGGGGAGAGGTGAGTTGCGTGAAGGGAGGGGGAGAGGGATAGGGAATGGTGGTGAAGGTGGTTCCGGTAGTGACTGGCCGTTTTCCGGCGAGATGAGGGGAGGGGCTAGGGTTTGGCGGTGGTGGGGTGGCTGGGAATATTTTGGGTTTTTTTTTAATTTTTTGTATTTTTTTAACTTTTTTTTTTAATTTTTATGAATTAAGATAAATGGTCCAATTATATCATGACACGTGTCATGATTAACCTTTAATTACTAACGGAGTTAACGACCGTTGGTCATTAATGGCACTGGGTGAATTTTTTAAAAACTGGGTGGCATTTGGTGAATTCTGAAAAGTCCGATGGCATTTGGTGAATTTTTAAATTGCTCAGTGGCATTTGGTGAAATATCCGTAGATTCTTTCTCCCACAACACACACAGATCACCATTCTGAACCATAGATTAAAAAAATCAATGGTTAGATTTACAAGAAACCCTTTTGAAACCCTTTCACTCTCACTCTCACTTTACCACTCTCACTTTACCACTCACGGGCTCACGGCGCCTCTCATTCTCACGGGATTAGCGCCTCTCCGTCTCCCTCATACATTCATTCACAGCGGACCTTGAAGCTGTCCTGATTTTGCCTCTCTCTCATCGGTGTTTGCTGCCCTAAATCTCCAAATTCAAGTAACCACTCTCTCATTCTCGATTTTAATTGATATTTTTTGTTGGTATGAATTGGTTTTTTTTTTTTTATTATTATTTATATTTTGTATATGTATTTCTTGTAATTCATGGCAATTAAAAATGTAAATTTGGGGATGAATGGATGATAGTAACAGTATATAAAAGTTGGCCAAGTTGTTGATTTTATATATATAAATGAATAAATTGACTGAAAGTGTTGAAGAATGGGGTTTTGTTTATAAGGAATTAAGGATATATAACTTATTACATGCAGTATTCTGAGTTTTTGTGCTCCAGCTGCTATAGCAAGTTTTATACAAGGTGGCTAGCTTCATTGTCTCTAGGTGACTAAATGCTCTGTTTTGCCGGCGATTTTTAAAAGTTTATTAAGCACATTATTGCCTGAACTTTGGTTTATTCATACATTAAAATTAACACACTGTTTTGTTCAGTACATTTCTATTAGTTGCTGCTGTGAAATATTAAGGTGAAAATTAATTAAATTGACACTTTGTATGATCCCTGATCAGATAAAATGGCCATCTACATGTATCAATATGTGGCCTAGTATTGATTTTCTTTCAAATGTGGTATGACTAGTATCAAACTATCAATAGTGCTAAAATAATAAGAATTCTTGTCAGTTTTGAATATATTCATGTTCTTTGCTGATGAGTTGACATATAATGGAATATGGTTTGCTCAACTACATTCACTTATGATGAAATGTGTTGTTTTGTTTCTGTTTTTTTAGTAATGGAGCAAGGGTTTGGAAATTATGATGAGAAAACTATAGATTCTCAAGATACTGTTCAGAATCAAGATTCTTCTCAACAACATAGCCTAATAGTATATTCATGTCACTAGCACACTCCCATCTTTATTTCATTATTACTCACGGAATCAATGTAATCATATGCTTAATAGTCTATGTGAATTAATTTTATTTATTACGCCTTCAGCCAAACCTTGGTACTTAATATTACAAGCTTTTTGTTCATTTGGTTTCATCACCTCAAATGTATACATGACTAGAGGTAGTAGTGTTGCTAATAGTTTGAGGCAGGGCCTGAGCCTGCTTGTTTTGCTCTTGTTTGTGAATACTGATTATCCTTAATGAATGATTTGCCTTGCTATTTTAAAAAAAATATTCTAAGATTTCTAATATTTAATCCATTTAATTATATTCCTGTAAAAAAAAAAATCCATTTAATTATATAAAAAAGTTTGTAAACGGTTCGATTTAGAAGCGGTTTGGTTCATAAACGGTTCGGTTTATAACCAGTTCGGTTTACAATCAGTTCGGTTTTTAAATGGTTCGGTGCAAACGGGTAGCAGTTTGCTAACGGTTCGGTGTAAGCGTTTTTTTTGCCAGTTTAAACGGTTTCGGGTTGGAACCGGTTTCGGGTTAGATACGGTCCGGTTTTCTTTCAATTCGGTTTATATTTGGTTCTGTTTGTTAACGGGTTCGGTTCTTAATACGGTTTAACATTATTCGGGTCGATTCGGTTTCGGGTTTACTAAAATACGGTTCTGGTCGGTTTTCGGTTTAAAAAAAAATCGGTTTTTAATCGGTTCGGTTATCATTTGGGTCGGTTGGTTTCGGGCAGTTAAACGGTTTCGGTTTGAAATTTGACAGCAGTACTTGTATCCCCTTCTTCCCAAAATGATCCTTTTTCACTTAATGACCGGTTCTTTTGATTTTAAACCTTATTCTTCCGGTTTCTTTCTCTCTCCTTCCCTAATTAAGAAAATACCGTTGGAGGCATTTATAACCTCCATAACTCCTCTCCTCTCCCTCTTTGCAATTTGTTTAAATTTGCCCCCCTCCCTTCAATTTTTTTCACAATTTTTCGAATCTTCTCTTGCTCTGTGAATCATCAATGGCAAGTCATATGTCAAATGGCTCTTCCTCAAGGTCCAGATCCAGGAGTAAGTCTGGTAGTCCCATGGGTCCAGTGTAATGCTACCACAACGAAGTTGCTCCTCTTAGGACAGTGAAGTACGATGGGCCAACTGTGGGGAAACACTTCTATGGGTGCTCTTTCTGGCCTGTAAGAAAATTAGGGTTTTTTGTCTCTGTTTTTGATTTGATTTTAATTTGTCTAATTTGTGGCAAAGGACTTGTGGCTTCTTCAAATGGGTTGATGAAGTGGATGATGTGCGTGAGCTGCAAACCATGATTCTTGAGAGGGACACCACCATTGCTGAACTGGAGATGCAGAAAGAAGAGCTCAAAGAAAGGTGAAAAAGCTGAAGGCTAAGAAGGAGGAGCTGATGGAAGAAGTGGAGGAGATGGGCATAGCCACAACAGAGACTATGTTTGAGTTGAAGGAGAACAATACTGACAAGCGTTTGATGCTGACTTTGGTTTTTTCTTGGGCGTTTTTCACTCTTGTGTTGCTGATGAAGTGAATCAGCTAGGGTAGGTGGGGTTGTGATGTTTTTTTTGGGTATAATTAGGTTGGTGGGGGAATGTTTTTGGGAGGATATGCTGGTAGTTTATGCATGTTGTTGATCATGCTTTTAGGTTGATATTTGGAAGGAATTTCTATTTGGAATTTTGTTTGTGCTTATGGTTTGTAAAAAATTTGGTCACATATGATGAATGAAATGATGTCATATTTTGGTACTTTGTTAGTGTTCTTAATTATTCTGTTTCAACAAAAGTGTATGACAAAAGGAAATGCTCAAATTTTGGAGAACACTGAATAACATACAAAAGCATCACTTGATTTAGTTGACAATGAAATTGTAGAGTAGAATTTGATTACAAAAGACTACTAATATCTAATTGTTCAATAACAACTAAAATTGCTCAATAAAACAAGGTTTAAACTGAAAATGTTCAATAACAACTACATCACTATTACAAATTAACTACTTAGACTATCACATAGCTAAGCATCTAAGTGTTGGTTGTTGACCCTTGGCTGAAGTTGTAGTTGAATGTGGTGGTGAAGGCACTGACATCCTGAGGTCCACTGCCTGCTGCTGGCTGCACAGACCAAAAACAGAAGGAAAAAAACCCATTAAAATACAAAGTTAGAGTACATTTTGGAAAACAGGACAGGTTAAAAAAAAAGTGAGCAAGGCCTTACGTTTGTGATGTTACTTCCATCAATAGTGACAAAAACTCCAAAGCCTTGAGGTATATGTGTCCTTCCTCCACCTCTTCTCCCACCCCTGTTGGTCCTCCCCCTCCCTCTGCCCCTTCCTATACTAGAGGCTGTATCAGTTCCCATGCCACCTGCCCTGCCTCCCCTGCCACCCCTAATGTTTCCCCCACCCCTGTTGCTTGTTGTTCCTCTATTGCTGACACCTCCTCTAGTTACAACTCTACCACCTCTGCCAAGTCTTGATGGTTCTGTTGTAGCTGTGTGATGCTGAGTGGTTTGAGGCACAAGTGGGATCTCTGTTGGGCATGGTTCTTTTCTTGGTCTTCCTCTTGGTATTTTAGCAGGGGGTTGATGGGGCTCTCTTGTCAAAGCTTGAGGGCTGGAAAACCCTTTTTATTGTGCCCTTTTTCCTTGCACCTTGAGCATGTCATCTCCATCCTATGCTTGGTCAATTTTCCTGGCCTTTTGGGATCTTCAAAGGGGTCCTTGCTTTTGTTTTTCCTAGGTCTCCCAGGGCCCACTTTAATTGGTGGTGGATCAAGTTCAAACTCAATCCTTGGCCAATGTCTTTCACCCTCAACTGGTGGTATTGACCTTGAGTAGGCCTTTATATAAGCTTCTTTTTGTAACAAGCATTAACATAATCTTCAGCATTTTTATGCTTGAAGAAGATAGCTGCCACAACATGGAAGCAAGGGAAGCCTGTCATGTCCCATTTCCTGCATGTACAGGTGTGAGCCTCCAAGTCCACATCACATGTGTCCAAGTAATAACTAACTTGGAACTTAGTCAGAGAAGAGGGGGTGACATCACATTTTGCAGCTTCTTGCTTCTCTATCAGCAGCTTCCTATGTATTCTAGGGCATAAAGGTGTTGTCCATTTTAGCATCTCCTCCCTCTTTGTCACAAGCCTCTTCATTAGTGATGATCTGATATCTTCCAACATGTATATCAGGTGCTTGGCTCTAACATTGATAATATAACCATTGAAGGTCTCTGCCATGTTACTTGTTATCACATCACCTTTGACTTCTGTATTCAGGTTGGCTCTGCAAAAGACCTCAGGTTGGTATGACTTAAACCCTTCAACAGCAAGTGGGTCTGCCTTCTTTAAAACTTCAATGTTCTCATCATAATCAGCTTTGTTGTAAGACTTTGCACAGTTCCAGAATAGGAGCTTGAACTCATCCCCTCTAAAATTTTTGTGCCAGTTTGCAAATATGTGCTTGGCACAATGCATGTGTTCAGCTTGAGGGAGCACCTCTGAAACTCCTCTTAAAATAGCCTGCAAAAGTGAACAAATTCAATTTCCAATACACATAACAAACCATTTACAAAACCTGTTGTTTTTAAGAGAATACCTGATGTTCATCGGACAAAATCACCAGCCCAGCACCTTCTTCAAGCTCCAAGCTCTTCTTCAAATTATCTAGGAACCATTCCCATGAAATGTTGTTCTCACCCTCTACCACTGCCCAGGCAATAGGGAACATCTGATCATTCCCATCTCTTCCAACAACAGACATGAGCTGGCTTCCAACAAAGGTTTTGAGGAAGCAAGCATCAACACAAATGACCTTCCTGCATCCTTCCTTCCATCCCCTTCTGATACCATCAAAGCACACATACAGTCTTTGGAAAATTTGGCGGCCCTTGTTATTCTGTCTGTATGTAACCAAGTCAATATCAGTTTCTGGGCTAGCCTTCTTCAATGCCTCAAGATACCTAGCTAGCTTTCCATAATGCTCTCTCATGGACCCATGCAATTTCATGTGTGCATAATATTTCACTTTATAGGCAAAATCCTTCTTCACAATAACTCTGTAAGCTCCCCTCACAGTCTCTATTATCTCTTTTGCAGGCCAGTGAGGCCTTGCCTTAACCACATTAAGCAACTGGTCAGCCAACCAAGTTGATTTCAGCTGAATGTTCTTCTCCATGTTCCTAAGGCATGTGTGCTCACCCATGACATTCTTCATCACAAAACTACCTTTCCTTGAATCCCAAGAAGCATACAGTCTAAAAGGGCAGCCTTGATTACACTTCACCCCTATTCTCTGTTGCCTAAGTTTGTCAGTAGTCACTATACACAGATTCCTTCCTTGAAGTATGGCATACTTAGCCACTGCCTGCTTAAAATCATCCCTAGATGTGAATCTCTGTCCTATAACCCACTTGAACTTAGAAAAATCTGTATCTTTCCCAACTAAAAGCCCTCTTTTGGCCCTTTTCTCCTCTAAAGTTTTCTCATCATCACTAGTTGTAGGAGTGTGTATTTCATCCTCTGAATCCTCATACTCGGAAACATGTTCTCCTTCTTTCCTACTACTGCTAGCCTCTACAGGTGGAGTCTGTTTTTTCTGAGCTTTCAACTTACCCTCAGCAGCTTCTTGCTGTAGTTTATGAGCTACCTCAACTACAATACTGTTAAATCCCTTAACCCTTTCCCTTGCAAGAACTTGCTCCTCATCACTTGTATCCACTTGCACCAAATCAGGTTCCATGTACAGAACTATATCCTCATTATCAACTGCAGCTCCATTAGTACCAAAGTTAAGTTCATATATCTCATAATCACCTAGCTAATCATGCTCCCCATACTCATTCTTATCAAAGTCTACCTCATCAAATAAAGCTTCATCTATCTCTTCAGCATAATCTGGGTCATTATCCACTTCATCATCACTTAAGTCTGCATCATAAATCAACTGGTCTAGAGGAATGGGGCTATCAGGTCTTTGATCTTCCCATTCATAATCTTCCGGGACACTAGATCAAAGACATATGTTTCCAAGGTGAGAAGTGTTTTGTGTTTCTGGTTCAAGGTTTGGTAAAGGTACAGAAGAAGAAGGGATAGGGTTACAAGTTTGACTGGGAGATGTAGAATCTTGTTGGATGAGTTTTTTTTTTTTGCCTTTTACAGATGTGGTGGGGACCACTAGAGATGCTGTTTTTTGGTTGCATTTTGACAGCTCTGGTAGCTTGTCTGAAACTACACAGGATTCCTGTGTCAACCTATTGGACCTTCTTGGGGCCAGCTTATTGGGCTCAGTTTGTTTATCATTTGGGCTTTTTATGGGCTGGGCTGTATTTGTGGATCCAGCTTGTGAGGGATTGACAGGTGTAAGCCAATCAAGGTCCTGCCCATCATGCACAACATACAACTCAATGCATCTACTGCCACCCTAAATGTTCACCATTGACCTCACCTCACTGTCATCATAAACACTCCTCAATCCACTCTCAAAATCTAACCCAGGAACAACATAGTATACCTTAAATATTGGACTATAATTACCACATTTTTCAACTAGCTCCTTCAAATAAAACCAACACAATTCATCACAATCCACTTAAAATGACTTAGATTTCCCACCCAAGTACACCCAGACATTCTTCTTTTTCTTAAAGGTACCCCCATGAAAAAATCGCAAAGAAACAAGTACCATTTTCAATCTGAAATATGCAAATAAGGGAAATTGACGCAATTAGGGTTCATAGACTACTTTAAACACCAATTAAACTACAAAATTAACAACATTTCATCATCAATCACCAGCAACATTCATAAATTTGAACATTTAACCTAAGTTAAACAATTGTGAAAAATTAGGGTTTGCCGAAGTACCTCAATCGCAGATTTACTTCCTCTCTTCAAGAATTCACAGTGCACTTCGCGTCAAAAAGCGTAGAGCTTGGATTTTCTTTGGGTGGTGTTTGAAAATCAACCTCCAATAGAGTAGGATGGGTGGGAATTCGAGTTTTTGTTAGTTGAACAACGAAGGAATTTGGGAGGGAAAATCAGGTAGAAAGAGGGAAAGAAGAAATAAAAAAAAAGGGGTTAACCTTTTCTCCAAGTAACCCGTAAAAAGGATCATTTTGGGAAGGAGGGAATACAAGGTGAGATTATTTCTAGAATTCGACGAGGTGGGATTATTTTGAGCAGATGGGTGAAAGGTGGGATTACTCTTTTCAATTTTTCCTTTTTAAATTTTATTTTATTTTATTTTATTTATTTATAACTCCATAATTTATATTTATACTAGAGTGGACTACGGCCCGATGCACGCTAACGGCTAGCTCTTATAGAGAAGCTGTATTGGCGTGTATTTACACCTTTGGTTTCCAAGTAGACCTGGTAGTTTTAATACTACTATTTGATTTATGTGCCTATATGATGGCTATGTAGAAATATAAGAAATCCACTAAATTTTTTTATGACAATTATTTTTTAAAACCCTCAAAATTTTGATAGTGTCATTTCAAAATTATTATTAAATAATATTTAATTGATTTGCATTCGATCCCTTCATAATTTAAGCGGTAATTGTCAGTTTAGAACTCTTAATTGATTTGCATGTTTCAATAATACTTAGTGTGTTTTTCTTTAAATGAATTTTTTGTGAGTTTTGGTCAAATAGAGTTTTAAAATGTGAAATGTTCGTTGTAGCTAAAAACTTAATAATGTAAGTTCTTCACTTATTTATGCTTTTCCTCTTAAATTATCTCCATGATTAATTAATATCAATTTTTTTTTCCTATCAACGATTTTCCTTGATTTTAGGATTTTTAAGTTCTTTATACCTCTTGATAACATCTGCTCAAATATCACTTTTTGATATGAATCCCATTCAAATTCCATAATGTTGTTTATGTGCCATCAAACAATGTAGATTTCAAAACTAATAAACCTTAACAATAGTTGCAATTAAATGACGACAAGATTGTAAATAAGAAGAGTAACCACGAAGGAGTAAAAATAGACAGTCTCTTCGTAATAAAAAGTCTCTTCGTACATACATTTTTTTCTTTTTAAATAATAATAATAATAATAACATATTAAGTGCTCCCTCCGTCCCCGAATAATAGTCACTATTTCCATTTTTGGACACCCAAAATGTTAGTCACATTTCACAATTTTAGGTCCCATACAATAACACAAAATGACCTATATACCAACCCTCATTTTTTTTGGTTGTATTATCTGTGCTTCCCAAAATACCCTCATATTTGCCTTTGTACTTGTGCCTTAATTGAATGAGTTGTCTCCCTTTTTAATGACAATCAGTTTCTCTCTTTTCTTTTTGTTTTGCACATGATTGGATTTTAGTTCCCATGTACTTTATTTAATTCTCCTTAATTCCCGTGATTTTCACCCAAAAGTGACTATCATTCGGGGACGGAGGGAGTATAAAGCATTAGATTTTTTTTTATTAAAAAAAAAAGCATTAGCATTACAAGTTTTTTGTTTAAATAAAAACTTTAAATTAATTGATGATAGGTTTAATGAAAAAAAACATTAAATATATTAATGAGAGTTAACATATTAATGAGGGTAAAAAAGTAAATACACATATTTATACATATTTTTAAGGGTATAGTTGGTAGAACATTATTTCTAAGAGTTATCTTCTACTTTTTATAAAGTAGGGATAAGGTAGGGATGTAAAAGAAGTAGTTTATTTTTTAAAAATTATTCCCTTCATTTTTCTTTAAATTCCATAATATTATTTCTTAAAATTTTAAGCAATGTTTGGTTCATTAAATTTAAAATGATTGGTACGAAATATCATAGTAGAAGGTTTAAAAATTATTCTCATTTAATAGGAGGGAAGTAAGAGAGAGGGACAATGTAAATAGCAAATTAATTGGGTGCACGTAAGAAAAAGAAGATATCAATGCCTAAAAATCATAGTCAACGCCAGAATAGTATGCACAAGTTTCATCTTACAAAAAAATACTACCTCCATTTTATATTATTTGCAACGATTTGACATAAAGTAGAGAAGAAAAATATTTAATCGTTGTAGATAATATTAAACGGAGGTAGTACAAGTTGGTGGTTTTTTTGTCAAAAACGCTTTGAAAGGTTTTTTTTTTTTTTTTTTTTTTTTTTCCCTTTTTCGCAAAATGGTGCTTTTAAAAGAATTTTTCTGACAAATTTTCCTTGTTTAATTTCCTTATCTTTTATTGAGTAATATAAATTATTCATTCGAGTAATCTTATTTTAACAATCATAATAACCTTAATTTATTATTATATGATTAACAGTATTAAAATTAACCAAAAAAAGGAAATATCAAAAAATATAAATAACATCATTGGTTTTATGTATATCTATAAACCATATAAAAGTTGAAACTTGCATGATATCCCCTTTACTGTGCTTAGGAACATTATTTTTGGCGCTTTTACTTCACTACCCCCAACAATAATAAATTGCCCAAAGCCCTTTTGCCTTTTTTTTTTTCTAAGGGGTGGGGCTGAGTAAGCAGGTTTAGTGCCAGGTGTATTGCTGTGAGGTTTGCATTTTTTTTTTTTACTTGGGTTCAGAATTTTTATAAAAATCCAATTGCTATTAATTACGGAGGGAGGTGTCCCCAGGAGAATAAAGGTGGTTGCTGCAATGGTGGTGGCATTGCAATTCTTTTTGCATGAAAAACAACCCCAGGAATGGTGGTGGAAGCTCAACTAATGTTGCGTGTCACCAGGTTTGTGTTTAGTGTAGTTGTGAAATTGAGGTGAAATTGATTAATTTTTGTAGGTGTTCTTGGGAGGTCAGAGGCTTGGTGTTAGTGATTATTTGATTGTAGTTAATGCCTGGGTTTAATTACTAATTTGGGTTTGTAAGTGTTTTAGAGTGTGTTGTGGGTGGTCCCAAATTGGAATTGAAAACCCAGCTTTCCTACTTGGTCTTACTTTTACTTATGCAATAGCTAGAGTAGGTGATTTAGGCAGTATTATTGTTCAAGGAGTACTTTGACTGATTAAGATATTGCTTTACTTGTTTAATGCGGTGTTCTTCAAGTTGCAAATTTAAGGCGGTGCTCTTCAGGCTGCAAATATATATATATATATATATATGCTATTGGAATTGTTCATGCAAGAATTAGGGTTTGATTTTCTGTTGTATGTGGCGCAATTTGCTTACAATTGGACAATTGAATTAAACATTTAGACATTATAAACAGTTTTGCATTTACATGTGTACTTCAATTATTTGAACAATTGTATTATTACATTTTGATAAATCTTGATATCAATGGTAGTTGATGAATACAAAGACTTCAATTCAATTATCCAAATACATATTTATCTAAAATCCTGTTATCATTTGCTTTAGTTACAGCTCAAATTAATAAATGCTTGATTATGGTAGTTCTTGATAGGAATGGTGTCCTTCGAACAAGTATATTATTCCGATAGAGAGAATCGAAATTATTAGAAAGCTAATTATTCAGTAAGGTCAAGTGATCAGAATGCCTAGTTGGAGGCCGCTTCCGATTAGTAATATTATTTCATAATAAATATTACAGCTTAATCTTGACTAAACCCTTCGGGTCACGCCTAACCAACTAATGATCCAATACGACGAATTAATCCGTAAGGAATTAATGAGTCGCTCGAGTATTACATATTTAGACGTCAGAAATCGAGCTAGGAGCCTTGAAACCGAGCATCGCAAGTCGAGTCGAACTAATAAAAGACGAGGCTGTAAAATCAA